TTGTTAGCATACAGATATTCATAATGGTCTTGACTCTACAACATTGGTACTAGCTTTTTCTCTTATTCTCAAAAGTATCTCTTTTACTCCTTGAAAACTGAGCCAGGCGTTTATTAATATTTTTGTTTTTTTTCAAAGAATCAGCTCTTGGTTTCACTGATCTTTTGGAACATCTCTTTGTTGGGTATCTATTTCATTTATTTCTGCTCTAATCATTAAATGTTCTTTATCCGTCTCTAGGTTTGCTTCCCTTTTTGTCCTGCAGGTGGTGTTGTTTCGATTGCTTTGAGGACAGAGAAATGGATGAAAAGAGACCAGAAACTAAACAAACAAAAAACCCTCAATGAACTGATCTTTGGGTTGCAGGTGAAAGTTAGCTGTGAGCAGCCCTGAGGGAAAGATTTGAGCTGCTCCCTCTCTCCTTGGCTGTTCAGGAACCCAGTTCCTTCTACCATCCTTTGCATAGTCCCTGCTTCTTGTGCTATATCTAGATGTTGCACTATTTTCAGACAGAAAGAGGAGGGGACAAAACACTTTCCACTGCTCTAGGTTAAAACATCGGGATTCTGTTTTGCTGGGGTTTTTTGTTTTGTTTTGTTTTGTTTCATTTTGTTTTTGTCCCTGAGCTTAGATCCTGCCAAATTAGACTTTCACTTTTAATTAATTGAAGTGGGGGGGGGGGCGTTTTTTCTTTTCAAGTACCTTCCCAGCTAGGTTATCTGCTCACGGCCAAGGTGTTTGGTGTCTACCTACCCGCTTATGGGACGATTCACTCATCTTCACTCCATTCCACTCCACCATCTCTCACTTTCAGATATGTGGAGACACAGTCTCCCCAGCAAAAATGGGGAGAATACCTGAGCAGAAACCTGTATTTCCTTCAAGAAATACAAATGGCCAAAAGACATATGGGGAAAAAATGCTATTACAAGTCATCAAGGGAATACAAATCAAAACAGCAATGAGATATTACATCAAATCAAAAATACAGGCACTCATCCAAAGGAACAATCACCGGCAGTGTTAGTGTGGATGTGGGGGGGAGGGGACCCTCATTCACTGCCGGCAAGATATCAACTGGTCCAGCCTTTTGAGAGAGCAGTATGGCCACTCCTCAAAAATCTAGACATCATGTCTCCATATACCCAGCAATTCCACTTCTTGGAATATACCCCAAGGACCCAAAAATACAATGTAGAAAAGTTATTTGCATTGTTTTGTTCATTGCAGCACTGTTCACAATAGCCAAAATCTGGAAACAACCCAAATGACCAGGAACAAAGGATTGAGTAGAAAAACTATGGTACATATACACAATGGAACACTACTCGATCAGTAGACAGGATAAAGTCATGCAATCTGCCTTTGTGTGGATGAGTATCATGCTGAATGAAGTTAGTCAGAAGGAGAGAGACAGAATGATCTCTTCCACGTGTGGGCTATAAAGAAACAGAATAGAGAAATAACAAATGCCCAAATGCAATAGAAACAAAGAGCATGAAGACTGGCTTCCAGTAGGAAGCTCAATACTTGTGGGGAAACGGCATCCGATAAGAAAGGGACAGGAATACCAAAACACTATGCATTATATAACCTCTCCAGAACAGCACTGTAAAACACAAAATCTAAAAAAAAAAAAAAGCTTGGGGACATTGGTGGTGGGAAACGTACAGCGTGAAGAGGTGGGTGTTGGAACATTATATGACTGAAACCCAATCATGAACAACTGTGTAACTGTATATCTTATGGTGATTCAATTAAAATAAAGAAAGAAAAAGAAGAGAAAAGAAAAGGGGGGAAAAGGCACCTTCCACAGAAGCAAACAATGGAGTAGATGGGAAACAGGGGACCTTGGTGGACAAAAGTGAGCCCTGGTGAAGTAACTGGTGCTCAAACATTGTTCTAGCCTGAAACACAGTCATGGATAACTTTGGAATTCATAGTGATTCAACTAAAAGACCACATCACAAATTAGTTTATAGTTGTAAAATTATTTGTTAAACATTTCCACCCTTCAAACACTGGAAACTAAATTCCACAAAGGCAAAAACATTGAAACTTGAGCCCCTAGTGAATAACTAATGAATATGACAATTATGAATAAATTATAAATATATGAATGAATGTAACTTCATAGGGTAGTTGAGAAGGTTAAGTAAGCACGTCTGCATGTAAGCCTAACACACAGAAAAAGAGATTTTTAAATGAACCAACACTTTCTCTGGTTATCACATTCTCTGATGGCTTAAATCAGTGGTTTTCCAGTAATTCCGTACGCATTTTAAGTTATCACTTTTTTAAAAAATTTAATCACAGTGTTAAAAGTTGTTCATGATTGGGGGGTGTATGATGCCACCAGCAGGTCAATCTGTACTTGTGAGGCGAGTGCATCAGCAGCCTCATAGCGCTTCCAGATACCCCAAAATTGCTGCTCTGCCTTTGGCCAGACCCCAAAATCTTGGGGCAAAGTTTACCAAGATAGCAAACGGCCAAAAGTTAGGTATGTGGGAAGGTAAAGGTAAAGGTAAAGGCCCTCCCGTTGATCGTCGATTTGCTCGAGCGGGCCCAGTAACGTCTCCATTGGAGACTTTGTTGTTACTGTGTTTGGCATATCGAATACTCTCGGTAGCTTGCCGGGCTCTCCAAGAGGGGCGGAGGAATCGAACTCGGGTTGACCATGTTGGCCACTTGTAAGGCGAACGCCCTACCCGCTGTGCTATTGCTCCAGCCCTGGTATGTGGGAAACACACCCACAAACCACTTCCAGCTCAGCTATATAATTGGAGGCATGGCCTTTCTGGTTCCTGATTGAACTGCTTAACGGCCATGATCCCAGAGACTCAGAAACAAATCTCGAAACCCAGCGGCTTTTGGCAGAAATGCATCGGGTCCCTGCAGTAGGTGCTGGGCCAACCCAGGTGGGAATAGGTTTCGTGCCTTGGCCTGTTCCCCCTGGCAGCCCTGAGGCCGCCATCCTCCAGAGGCCACCGGACAGTCAGGTTTGGGCCTGCAGTGACGAGACACACAGGGCTTCACGGGATGGGGGTGGAGCCGGCCCTGTCCTCCCCACCCCAACGAGACCCCAAGTCATTGCCCACAAATGGCCTTTCTGGCTCCTGATCAAGCTGCTTAATGGCCATGATCCCAGAGACTCAGGAGCAAATCTCGGAACCCAGCAGGTTTTAGCAGAAATCTCTCCAGATTTAAGTGTTAAAATTTCAGAATTTCAAAATTGCGCAGCCACTACTGCAGCCTCACGACATCATATGTTATTCATAACCAGCAATAGAAAACAAATTGTCTACTGTTGCCTTTTCAGAAAATCCGAATGTTGGGGTGAAATCTCAAATAATAATGGTGGGTCTGATGTCAAAATATTGAATGTGATCAAAGTAGAGATAGAGTAATATGGAAATCATCTGCCCCACAGGTAGGGAGAGGCTGTGGGATGGGGGGTAGACTGGGGTTGTTGGGGTTGGAGAATGGGCACTGGTGGAGGTAGGGGTGTTTCATTGTATGACTGAGACTTAGACCCGAAAGCTTTGTAACTGCTCTCACGGTGATTCAATAAATAAGATTATAAATAATTTAAAAAAAAGAAAGGTGGAGTTCATGCACAATTTAATCAGCTAGTCAGTGGCTGAATAAATAGCAGTACTCCTACATTAAAAAAAAGTTCATGATTTGGTTTCAGTCATATAATGTACCAACAATACAGCAATAGCACAGCGGGTAGGGCGTTCTCCTTACACGCGGCCAACATGGCCGACCCGAGTTCGATTCCTCCGCCCCTCTCGGAGAGCCCGGCAAGCTACCGAGAGTATTCGATATGCCAGACACAGTAACAACAAAGTTTTCAATGGAGACGTTACTGGGCCCGCTCGAGCAAATCGACGATCAACGGGAGGGCCTTTACCTTTAATGTACCAACACCCTTCCCTACACCAGTGTACATTTTCGACCACCAATGTCCCCAGTTTCCTTCCCCACCCACCCTGCATCCTCTCTCTCCCCTTTCACCCACCCTTTCAGGCCTTATGGTTTTCAACATAGACACTTAAAGGTTATCAGGTATATCCCCTTACCTACTTTCAACACTCACTTCCTATCCAGGGTGATCATTTTCAACAATTATTGTCATACTAGTCTCTTCTCTATCCCAACTGCCCTCTCCTCCTCTCCACACCCCACACATCGCCCACACCCCTCTTCTCCCCCTTCCCCCCACACACACACATACACTCTCTTGTGGCAAATTTCCAACCATTGACTAGTCTACATGGAATTAATATTACATTATTGCACATATAGGAATTCAACAACACTATGATTCCATGTATTCTTGTGCTGTTGTTCAATTATTTCTGTAAGGGTATAACTATAGTATACAGTTATTTGAATTCATTATGTTCTGCTTGGGCATGATTCTCTTTGTCTGCTTGAAATTCACTGGGGTTATTCCAGAGGGACAATACTAAACACTTTTAGTCCTTCCAAACGATTGATTTTTTTTTTTAATTTATGAGGAAGAGAAAATCAACTCTGAACAACCATTGGTTCTTGCTTTTGCTGTGAATGTTGGTGAAAGGCTAGGGCAGGAAAGAGAGACTTCTGGGAGACAATTGCCTAATTGCCTGACCCCTAGTTCTTTGCCAGCTGGTTTTATAACTCCGAGTTGATGAGTAATAGCAAGTACGTTAGGACCAAAATACAATTTTCTAGATAAAGCAGTGGGACTTATAAATACTTATATATACTTATATATCAGAAATTCATGCAGTTTGATGCTCAAATTCTTTTAAGTAGTTTGACTCAGCAATTTTTAGAAATAACAGGTCAGAGTACACTTTTTCTCCCTTTTGTTTTCGTTTTGTGTGTCAAACTAGACTTTGCTCAGGGCTTCCTCTTGGCTCTTTGCTTAGTAATCACTCCTGGCCAAGTTTGAGGGATCATATGCAGCACCCGTGATCAAATCCAAGTTTGCTGTGTACAAGTTAAGTGTCTGACCCACTGTGCTTTCTCTTCAGTCCCAAGGTAAACTCTTTAAGATCACTCTACCCAGGTGCTCTATTTCATTTTCCTGTTCCCTCTTGAACACACATTTCTTCTTTCTCTCCCCTCACATCATTCTAAATATTGTTCAATAAAAACTATCTTACTTTACTAAAAGTCAGTAAAAGTTAGTATTTAATGATATCAAATTATTGTATTAAATTATTATGCACAGTAATCACGGTCCTCCCATTGTTCATCAATTTGCTCGAGCGGGCCCAGTAACGTCTCCATTGGAGACTTTGTTGTTATTGTGTTTGGCATATCGAATACATCACGGGTAACTTGCCAGGCTCTGCTGTGTGGGCGGGATACTCTCCGTAGCTTGCCGGGCTCTCCGAGAGGGGCGGAGGAATCGAACTCGGGTCAGCCATATTGTCTGCGTGCAAGGCAAACGCCCTACCGCTGTGCTATCGCTCCAGCGCCAAATTATTATGCAATACTGTTAAATTATTAAATGGCTCAAAGGTTTAAGATATACAGCATTGTCTAGCAAAATCTATAGCTATTACATTAATTTCTCCTCCCAAAGTAGTCTCCATCTTTCATTCTAAAATTGATCTCTTTTGCAATCTAAACTACCCACCTGTCTCACTCCCTTCCTTTCTCACAACCACTATTTTGTATAGTTCCGTGAGTTTTGTTCTGTGTGTTATGAGTATAGTTTCTTCATTGTTCACCTGTGAGTAAAATCTAACATCATCTGTCTCTGAATGACTTATTTCACTAAGCCTTATAGCCTCTAGTTTCAACCATGCAGCTATAAGTGCAGGATTTCATCTTTTTCTCTCAGTAGAAGAGAATCTGGATAAAATTGCAAATACACAAATAATACATTTTTTATCCAGTAATTTTTTATTCAGTCATCTGTCAATAAACATTTAGGTTGTTTCCAGCTCTTGACTATTGTGATAAAGTTGTGCTGAATGTGGGGATGGGTATTCAGCTTCAAATTAGTGCTTTGTTTTTCTTCAGGGAAATGCTCAGAAATGGCATCATTCAATTATATGGAATTTAACTTTTAATTTTTTAAAGAACCCTAATACTGTTTTCATTAAAGTCTTCACCCGTTTACTTTCTCACAAGTATATCAGTTTCCTTCTTTCCAAGACCTCACCAACATTTGTTTCTTGTCTTTTCCCATAATAGCCATAGTAACAAGTCTCACAATGTTACTGGACCCGCTGGAGCAAATCTATGAACAATGGGACTGACAGTGACAGCTATGCTCACAGGAGTGAACTTTCTCACTGTTGTTTGGATTTGTGTTTCCCTAACAAGTGATGAACATCTTCCATATGCTTGTTGGTCACCTTCTTTGAAGAGTTGTCTTTTCAGATCCTCTCTCGACTTAAAGAGAAATGATTGTAGGGGCAGAGAGATAATACAACAGTTAAAGCACTTGCTGTGCCTGCCTCCAATTACTTGACTGGAGTTCTATATATGGTCCCTGAGCACCACTAGAATTGATCCCTGAACTCAATTGGGTTAATTTTTGTAGCCCTCCTTCCAACCAAAAAATTTCAGTCTAGTTTAGGTGGCATAGCTTAATAGTGTTAACACTGGGTGGGGGGGAGGGGGGCTGTTGTTTAATATACTTTTGTTTTGTTTATATTTGGTTTGGTTTGGTTTGGTTTGGTTTGGTTTGGCTTAGGGATCACAACCAGTTGTTCTTAGAGCTCAGAACTCAGGGATCACTCTTGGTGATGCTTACGACACCATATGTGCTGCTGGATATGAAACCCAGGTCAGCTACATGCAACAGCTAGAGCCTTACCCACTATACTATCTATCTGGCCACAATTTATGATTTTCATATACAAAGTTATTGCACCTCCACCCATTTTAAATAAACATGTTTCTTTTTTTTCTGTTCTATGAGTTCAATGACATTTTGGATGTTAGTCTCTTGTATGATTTTCACATGTGATATGAAAATACCTTCTTCCATTCAGTGGATTTTTATTTTAGAATTTCTTTCTTTGTACAGTAGCTATTAAGTTTGGTGTAGCATTTGTCTATTTTTGCTTTTGTTCCCCTGCCTTTGGAATAGAATCCCAACTGCATCTCTAAGGCCAATGTTAAGGAGCATGTCACCAATTTGGGGATATAAGTTTTGTGTTTCTGTGTCTTAAATTCAAGTCTTTAATCCATTTTAAGTGAACACTTACTGTATAGTGTTGGATAATGCTTTATTTCCATTCTTGAGCATTTAGTTGCCCAGATTTCCAGTTTCATCAAACAGGAATACTTTTCTTTAAAACATTGCATGCTCTTGGTTATTTGTCATGAATTTGTTTCACAGATATATGTAGGTTTATTTCTGGGCTCTCAATTATGATACTTTGGTCAGTGTATTTATTTTTAATTTTATACTATGCAAATTTGATTACTATCACTTTGTATCTATCTTGAAGTTGGAAAATAGTTCAGTTACTGTTATTTTTTTCCATGACTATTTTAGCTACTTGGGGTATATTTGTAGTTACAAATAAACTCTTCTTTTTAAATGCTACAACCATTAAAATTGCTAAATCTTCCAATTCTTCAGCATAGAATTTCTTTCCATTTTTTTTTCTTTTTGTTATTATTGAAACACCATGTGGTACAATTGTAGACTTACAATTTTTGGGGCTTGGGTTTCAGTTATACAACAATTGGATACTCATCCCTCCACAAGTGCCCATTCTCCAACTCCAGTGCTCCCAGTATCCCTTCCACCCCCCTTCCACCCATCCTACACCATCCCTGTGGCACAACATTCCCTTTAGTTTTCTCTCTCCTTTTGGGTGCTGTGGTTTGCAAAAGAGGCATTGAGTGGCAATCATGTTCGGTCTATAGTCTACTTTCAGCATGCATCTCCCATCCTGAGAGGATCCTCCCAACACCCTTTATTTGGTGCTCCCTTCTCTATCTGAGCTGCCTTTTCCCCTAGCGTGTGCAGCTGGCCTCCAAGCCACGTAGTGAAACTCCTTTTACTTATCTTGGATATTCTTGGGTGTAGTCTCCTATTTTGTTACTTTATATTCCCCAGATGAGTGCAATCTTTCTATGTCTGTCCCTCTCTTTCTGACTCATTGCACTTACCATGATTCTTTCCATGTAGTACCACTTGTATGTAAATTTCATGACTTCATCTTTTCTAACAGCTGCATAGTACTTCATTGTGTAGATGTACCAAAGTTTCTTTAACCAGTCATCTGTTCTCGGGAACTCGGGTTTTTTCCAGATTTTGGCTACTGTGAATAGTGCAGCAATGAACACAGAAGTGCAAATGTCATTTTGACTGTACTTATTTTGCCTCTCTGGGATATATTCTCAGGAGTTGTATCATTTCTTTACATCTTCTATTTATTTCAGCAAGCTATTATAGTTTTAAGAGCAAATGTATTTTAATTATTGGTTATATTTATTCTTAGGAAATTAATTCCCTTTGATGAGATTATAAATGACATTACTTTTAGGCTTTCTCTGTTAGTTTATTTTTGTGTATATATACAAATGTAGCAGATTTTTATGTAACAAATTTTATCTTCCATTTAGTTCATTTACAATATTTGTTATAATGCTGGAGCGATAGCACAGCAGAAGGGCATTTGCCTAGCACATGGCCGGCCAGGCGAGCCGTGTTCGATTCCTCCGCCCCTCTCGGAGAGTCCGGCAAACTACGGAGAGTATCTCGCCTGCACGGCAAAGCCTGGCAAGCTCCCCGTGATGTATTGGATATGCCAAACACAGTAAAATGTCTCACAATGGAGACGTTACTGGGCCTGCTCAAGCAAATTGATGAACAACGGGAGGACAGTGCTAAGTGCTACTTTTAAAAGTCATAAATAGATGTTGAATATTCTCTAAATTTTTTATATCTCCCTTTATTTTATGTGATGTCTCACTAATTATTTTGCATATGTTGAAATGTTCTTGACTCCTTGGAATAATTCCCAATTCATAATGCTGTATGATTCTTTTAATGTGCTGTTGCATTAAGTTTGCTAGTTTTGCATCTGTGTTTATCAGATATATGAAAGGTATATCGATTAATGCATATCACTATCACTACCACCCTGTTGTTCATCAATTTGCTCGAGCGGGAGCCAGTAACGTCTCCATTCATCCCTGTCTCGTGCTAGTCTAGCCCGATGGCATATTGGGGGCTCTTTCAGGGTCAGGAGAAAGAGGACCATCATTGTTACTGTTTTTGGCATATCGAGTATGTCACTGGTAGCTTGCTAGGCTCTGCTGTGCAGGCGGAATACTCTCGGTAGCTTGCCGGGCTCTCCGAGAGGGATGGAGACCTTTGGGGCAGCCTCTATTCACCTTTACAGGTGTTGCCAGTCAGGCATATATGAGGGCAGGATACTCTTGGTAGCCTGCTGGGTTCTCTGAGAGTGAGAACTAGACAATAAGAGGTTGCACACCACATTTGCAGCCACGTGCTTCTGGGAGCTTGGTTTTATAGTCTCTGGATCTTAGCCGTTGATGGTTACATGGAAGTTGGTGGGTGTAACTGTCTAGCTACTGGAAGATGGGGGGATCTGGGTGGAGGAGGCCCAATCCCAAACCAAGCAGGCTTGGAGATCTCAGCCCCGAGTCCCACACACCTGGGTTCCTCTGCTGGTTCCTTCATGCATGAGGCTCGTCCTAGCATGTGGAGAGCGGTCTCAGCATGGCTATGGCTTGGTCCCAGAGGTCTTCAGCTGCCAGGGCTCTGCTCAGGGTGGACAGGAAAACTCAACCCACCAGTCTCCAAGGGGCCCCTGTGAGGACAGCCAGGCGCGGGGTCAGGAGACTCCTGCATATAATTTTATAAAAATGCATATACTTTTCTTTATGTTTGATGTTACTGTCCAGTTTTGGAATTAGACTGTTAGATTCATAAATTTTTTTTGAAGTTTTCCTTCTTTACAATATTTTAAAGAGTTTAGTAATAGGGATTGAATTTTTTTTGTTTGTTTGGTAAGATTTGGTAATAAAGTCATCTAAATTTGACTTCTACTATGAGGTAAATTTTTAGTTCCCATTCCATATTCTTTTTTGGAGGGCAGGCTTAAGTTTTTTTTTTCACCTAATAGTAATAAATAGTATATTTAATTTTTTAGTTTTTTTAAATTTTATTGAATCACCGTGAGAACAGTTACAAAGTTTTCAGGTTTAAGTCTCGATCATACAATGATCAAACATCTTTCCCTTCACCAGTGCACATGTTCCACCACCGAGAACCCCCCATTCCACCCTTCCCTGCCTGTGTGGCAGATGATTTCCTCTTTACTCTCTCTTTACTTTGATTACATTCAATTTCCCATTCCATTTTCTTTACTCTTGATATGTCTATTGAGATTTTAAAATTCTTCCTGATCATCTTGGTATGTTACGTATTTCCAACAAGTTGCTCATTTTTAAGTTGTGTAATTTGTTGCCAGATTGATGTTTAAAGTGTTCAGAGTTTCTATGATCCTTTATATTTATAAAGTATGTTATACTTTGCCTCTTTCATTTCTGGTCTATTCATTTGAATGTTCTTTGTGTTTTGTTTTAGAGTCTCTATCCAGATTTAAGTACCTGCCGAAATGTTTCACTTACAAGGCCCACAAATGCTGCAGATGCTAGAGAAATATTTGATAAAGAGCCTACCAGAATCCTTAAAGGTGAGAGGATAATTCTTAGGAGAAATAAAACACCATTAACTGCAGTTCTCGGAAAACTTCTGAAAGAAGTAGGAAAGTGAGCATTCCTTGAGTGCCAGACATGGATTATTAATCTTGCACCTCATACAGTTCACATAACTCTCTGCAAGATGGTTTTATTATTTTTTCCCAAAATTTGAAGGCTTAATCTATCCTAAATTGGCCAAGGTCACTCCATTAGTGAATAGCAATGACATTATTTTAATTCCCTATGATCTTTGCTGTGTGTTGACTAAAAAAGCATTCCCTTATGCCCTACCAGTGATTATATTATATAACACTGGAAGTTTTGCCAGAACTGAAAATTGACTGAGACTAACATTAATGTTTAATTTACTCTTCCTAACTACAACTACAAGCACATGATAAAAATTCGACCATTTTTCTTTGAAATGAAGAATAAGATTAAGAATAGTCAAAATAAAAAATGTTCTATTTCATTGAACTCCAAAGAATTAAGTTTCATTTGGGGTGAGACAGAAATCTTATAAAGAGTTGTAATAATCTTGCATCATAGAGTTTTTTTGTTTTTGTAATAACATGTGTTGCAAAAAGGAGTAGAATATTACCGTGAGCTAGGTGCCTTATTAGTTACAGACCTGAGTTCATAAAAGCAAACCTTTTCCTGATCAAATAACAAGACACACCTTTTGGTTCCTTTCTCTTAAACTCTCCTTCTTACCTTTTGGGGGATTCTTCAGGTTTATGGAACTGTATTTCACATGAATCAAGGAAACCCATTCAATCTAAAAGCTCTTGTGGACAAGTGGCCTGATTTTAACACAGTGGTTATCAGCCCTCAGAAACAGGTAAGATGCCAAACATAGGATGAATGACTTCTATTTTAGTACATGCAGGCCATGTACTTGGCAAAGTGGCAGACTGGGAACACAGAAGGTAATTATTGTGAGGGCAAACTGACCTTAAAAATCTCTGGCATCTTGGAGCCGGAGCAATAGCACAGTGGGTAGGGCATTTTCCTTGCACGCGACCGACCTGTGTTCGATCCCCAGCATCCCATATGGTCCCCCAAGCACCACCAGGAGTAATTCCTGAGTGCAGAGCCAGGAGTAACTCCTGAGCATCGCTGGGTGTGACCCAAAAAGAAAAAAAAAATCTGTGGCACCTCAAAGAAATCACAGGTCAGTAAGTAAATTACAAGTGTGTAATGCTGTGAAAATATACCCCAAAAATGTACCTTCCCAAATTTTCCTAACCCATAAATTGAATCTGATTAAATCTTGTCTCATGATGTAAAATGCTCAGGAATAAGGACAGTACATGAGGAAAAGCATCAATGTTTAAGTTTATAAAAATAACAAAATAGTCACAAGGATTCTAATCACTTATATAACCAACATGCTTTATTCTTTATTTCCCCATCGAAAAGGAGATGATAGATGATTTTGATCACTACACCAATACTTACCAGATCTATTCTAAGGATCCAGAGCACTGCCAAAAAATCCTTGAAACACCAGATGTCATCAATTGGAAACAACATTTGCAGATCCAGAGTAAGTAAGACATCTAGGACATGTGCTGGCCACTAGAACAGCTCCTGGCTACACCTTCAAGGTAGTTTTTTATCCTAACCCCATCCCTCTCCAAACTTTAGCTTCCTCTACCAAACTCCAGACACAACTTAATGTTCATCCTTTGTATCAACTGCCATCATCTCTTCAGTGAATTTGAATTTAAACACTGAGCCTAGAATTTGATAGAAAGAGATGTGAGTAATGCCATTTATCATCAGAATATTCATGATAGAGCTTGTTTACAGAGTGAGGATTCCTTAGGAACTTGTGTGTGGGAGTAGAGTAGTGTTTCTCTATCTGGTCTCGTAGTCCCAGAATAATAATGAAAATTAGTTTGCTAAAGAACATCTTTAAGACAGCTACTGTGATTATGAGTGTGACCTCTGAGTCAGACTCCTGTGGTCACGTCCTTGCATTATCAGTTTCTTGATTTGTTCTCTTATAAATGACAAGAGAATTCTCTTGATCTCAATTTTCTCACAAACCAAAAAGAGAACTACAGAAGTGCCTAAAGTACAAAATGTCTACACGTGCAAGATTGGCTACTAATTTTTAAATACCACATTTCTGTTGATTTCCAGTAATTCAGTGAAAATTTCTACCGCATATTTTGCATAAGAAAAAAAGATGTTCAAGGAATGATATGGCCCTGGTCATACGATTATTAGTGACATTGGAAGCAAGATTGCTTGAATGTAATCCTTGCATGTTTTGTCAGGAACATTCCTGTAGCATGTAATAACCAATTGCTTCTCTCATTTAACCTCTCTAGGTACACAATCCAGCCTGAATGAGGTGATGCAGAATCTTGCAAGAACAAAATTGGTTAAGATCAAGCATACACAATGCTTTCTCTATATGTTTCCCGAAACTGCAGGGAAACTGCTACCTTCCCTGTTGGAAGCAAAGAATTTACCTCTTAAGTCTGGCAGACCCAAGCCAATGTGAGTTTGTAGTAAGATTCTCTTCATTCACTCTTTATTTCCTTCAATCAATTTCTAGAGAGATGTTTTTAATAGATAATATTGATCATGTCAGTTCTCATGTTCTAATACCATTGATTTTTCTTGATTCACTTTGAGTATAATACAAACTATAAATTAAATATGTCCCTTCACTGAGTTCCAGTCACTCGTGAACAAAACTGAACAACAATGGGAGTAATTTACCTGTAGAAACCAAATCCCAGAGTGCCCTGGTAATATTCCCAGAAAAAAAAAATGATTCATTCACATTATATCTCACACTATATCTAAAAAGTACCTCCTAGTCCATAATATCATTTGGGATTTTGCCTTCCTTTGAACATATAGGACAGGAGATATTATTCCTATTTCCTTGCCAATATAAAGACTCAGATGATGAAATACTTGTTCAAGTCATGTGGGTAATTAAAAGCGTAACTGAAGCTTCCATTTCCACTGTGTGGAATCTTTCCTGGTTACCTCCTGAACCTCTGACTTCTGTAACTGAGAGGTCACACATAATCCAAACAATTGTGCCCTCTAAACTTCAGCTTTCCCACGTAACCTAGGGCTCTCTGACTTCTCCAGACATTCCAAGATTCAGTGATTCTAAGTTCTGACTTTATGGGACTGAAGCAATAGCACAGCGAGTAGGGTGTTTGATTTGCTCGTGCCTGACCCAGGTTTGATTCCCAGCATCCCATATGGTCCCCCAAGCACTGCCAGGCGTAATTTCTGAGTGTAAAGTCAGAAGTAACCCCTGTGGATCGCTGAGTGTGATCCAAAAAGAAAAAGGAAAAAAAAAGAAGTCCTGACTTTACAATTTGCTCACCTGTGCTTTTGGCCTTTCATCATGTGCTTTTGTATAAATTTTTTTGTTTGTGTAAAATGGGGTGACATCAATTTCCTCATGTTAACCCAAGTTGCAAGTAATGTCTAGAACAATACTTAATTCTAATGGAATTCTTATGTTTTTTATATCACATATCATTCTTCTTATTTTTTTATACAACATATCATTTTAGATACCTATCAAGCTTTTAAAGACATGTCTGTCTTTAATCAGAGATTCTATGAAAGTCACAGTTGTAAAGAAGAAGTGGAGACAGAGACATTATATTGCTTGCTCAAGATGAATCAACTGGACTAGAGAAATAGTACAGCAGGGAGAATACTTGCTTTCCATGTGGCCAAATAGAGTTAAATCCCCGTCACCCCATGTGGTACCCTGCGGTCCACGAGGAGTGATCCCTGAGCAAAGATTCAGTAATCCCTGAGCAGTGTTTAAAATGGCGTGGCCCCCAAACAAAAAAATGACACCACTAGTCAGATTGTGAATCCAGACAGTCTGACTACAGGACCTGTATCTTTACCCGTGCCTTTATTTGTATTATCTGATTAGGCAATATTTAGAAAATTAATATATTATCACATAGTATATATGATATAATAGGTGATTCTTTTTTCTTGTTCTCAACAGTAATGAAGAGATGTTTAAGTGCTCGTCCCTGGATGTTACCCACGCTGCCTTGGTGAATAAGTTCTGGTATTTTGGAGGCAATGAAAGGAGTCAGCGATTCATTGAACGCTGTATCCAAAAATTCCCCACAATCTGCCTATTGGGGCCAGAGGGGACCCCTGCATCCTGGTCCCTGATGGACCAGACCGGAGAGATACGAATGGGAGGCACTGTGCCTGAGTACCGAGCCCAGGGTCTCATTTCTCACACCTTATATGAGTTCATTCAGATTCTGAACAACCTTGGCTTCCCTTTATATAACCACACAGCAAAAGACAACAAAATCATACAGAAAATGAGTAGCAATCTTCACCACATCCCCATGCCCTGTGACTGGAACCAGTGGAATTGTGTGCCGCTCGAAGATCCCTGATCAATAGACAGTATTGGGTGGGTTGGTCGTGAGGCAAAAGGAAAGATGGGTAGGTAGAGATAAATGTAAACTTTAGTGAAGCAGCATGTACTGTTTGGGCTTCAGGAGAGCAGTTGAATGAACCGCAGAGTCCACTCAATGGAATCCTCCAAGGTACCTGCTCACAAAGCACTCATGGTCCTCCCCTTGGCGCCAGAAACATTGACAAGGCTCAGACTTCCTGTGGTAGACTCTGGTCTCATTCAATTTCTTACAATTTGGGATTTTTTGCATGCCTCCCTAACGGTTCTCCCAGAATTCCTATTTGACATATAAATCATTGCCAATAGATGTATTTTGCTAGATTTTTCAAGATGTGATTTTTTTAATGGGAATCATAATTTTCCTTATATCTTTATATTACCCTCCTACCTCAATATTTATAAATGTATAATTAATTTAAAAATAAAATTGTAATATATTTAAAGTGTGCAGTGTGCTTATATAGAAATATATCATATATAATCATTGAGTATATGCATTACAAATGGGTTTCAACAATTAATGCATCAAGTTTTTTTCTATAGCTCTTTTTGATGAGAACACAATGCTACTCTCAGAAAATTTCATTAGTACAAAATGATACTGTTGATTGTAGTCACCTTTCTATATATTAGAATCTTAGGACCCATTTGTCTTAAAAGTTGGAGTAAAAATCTTTTACCAAACTCTTCCTATTTCTTTTATACCCCACCCCATGCAACTGCAATTCTACTCTCTGCTTTGAGTTCAAGGTTTTTTTGGAAAAGTGTGTGTGTGTGTGTGTGTGTGTGTGTGTGTGTGTGTGTGAGAGAGAGAGAGAGAGAGAGAGAGAGAGAGAGAGAGAGAGAGAGAGAGAGAGATCCCATACCTCATATGTCACGGTGTTTTCATTTCTTTTCTTTTTCTTTTTTTTGGGGGGGTCACACTTGGCGATGCACAGGGGTAATACTCCTGTCTCTGCACTCAGGAATTACTCCTGGCGGTGCTTGGGGACCATATGGAATGCTGAGAATCGAACCCTAGTCAGCTGCGTGCAAGGCAAACACCCTACCTGCTGTGCTATCACTCCAACCCTTCATTTCACTTTAGCATAATGCCCTCAAGGTTTATTTATGCCATCACAAACAGCAGGATGCCTTAATATGACTGAATACTATTCCAGTTTTTATACATAACATAATACAAATATTATTGTTTACACATTTTCTTCATCCACTCATCTGCCAATGGACACTAGGCTTATTTCAGAAATCTTCTCTGGCAGCGCTCAGGGTACCCATATGGGATATCGGGGATTGAACCTGGGTCAGTTTCATGCAAAGCAAAACTCTAACTTATACTATTGCTCAAGACTACCTCAGTTTTTCTCTTCCACTACTTTCTCTGGCAGAGACATAGTGTCTCTGGTCACTGCTATCTTTGATTGGTAGATGGACGTGGACCTTTGAAAATTTTCTCTATAAGATTGTCTTTTGTTCTCAGACCCAGGGAACTGAGAACATTTGGCATTCTTAATTTGGCCCCCTTTTCCATCATACTGGCATTGCCCCTCCTCAAATACATTTTTATGTGCATTGGAATGTTCCTATGATTTTTTAATCATATCTACTTTTGACAGAGAGTACAATGTAATTTATTTTTATGCAATAAACCACCCTAAGGACAAATTCTTCTTGATTATGCATAAAATCATTTTTGTATTTTGTGAACTCAGAACACGTTTTGACTGAATTAATTACGAAATGAATGATGAATCTTTGGATTCACCTTTGGAGGATGGATTTCCTGAACAAACATGTTAATACAAGCAATACATGCATTCATATTTTAGCATCCATTAACCAAAGGCACATTCTGAATCTGATAGTATAATAAGCAGAATGGACAGAAGAGTAAATAATGCCTCTTAAGTCACAGAAGTTTCATTCCCTAGAAAAGAAAATTCTAGCCAACGTCACAAGTTCTGTATTCGACACATGCACACACTTATAACAGTGCAGAGAAGTGATCTGTTCTGCCTGAAATAAGAGACAACACATTTGACAGGTCCTAAGCTAGCTTTGAAAGATGAGAGAGAGAGGAGGGAGTTCTAGGACACAACAAAATGTAGAACGGTGAGAATTGTCAAAGTCAATTCTGTGTTAAAAAATGTCCTGTGATCTTGCGCGGTGGAGAGTGTCCACAGAGACTCATGGAGAGTGGAAACATAGCCAGATGATTAAAAAATCATCTATATTTCTCACTGACTCACAATCTAGTAACTCAGGTGAAAGTACATCCCAATCTCTTTTGACCCCGGCCTCTCTCCACCTCTTGCAGGAGATGGAAGGGAAAATTAAGGATCCATTAGGTTTTCTTCAAGTGATTTATAAGGACCTGAAAGGGAATGTGTATTTACACATAGAACATTCAGAAAATACCTAATGATTCATAATATTATAGGTTAGATTCAACTTGCCACTTTTTACAAATTAAACTAGCCTTGTTCTATGACTAATTTGAACCTGGAGACTAATTTGGAGAAAAGTTGGTAAGCAAGATGGCAGCAACTGAAAATATTAACACAAATAATAAGTCCTTTTTTCCTTCCTAGTACTGTGCACATTTACGGATGGTTTCAGTTGCTGTGTCTCATGCGTGACTAAAATTTTCTTCAGCAATGTTTAATCACATTCAATGAGCTTTTAATTTCATAAGTTATTCTTTATATAAAGTATATAAAGTATAATTTATCAATAAAAGTTACATGAGACTTCTTATAATTTCCCTTTTTTCCTCATAATTCATATCAAAAATAGGGAACAACATTCTTAAGCAATTTAACTCTTCTACTAATGTCAACATCTTGCAGTTACCTTTAAAAAAATTGTTTACCCGCCTTTCTCCCTCTGAACAGCAAGATGGCGGCCGCCTCGGAGCTTTTTGGAAAGTCAGGTATGAGCTGGTCCTGATGGGGCAACTGAAACCTCATGGGAAGGGGGGCGTTCCTGGCTCGTCCTTCACGCCCTACTGAGGTCACGAGTTGTCCCCCTCTAGTGGCTCTCCGGCATGGCCATGGCTCCAGAAGCACAAGGACTTAATGCAGAGTCCGGCAGCTTGTGGCAAAAAAGTGAATGGACTATGCGTTAATCCATACCACCATACCTGCCCGGAAGGGAAAGGGTGTTGCTCCCTTCTGCATTTCTCCCTCTGGACAGCAAGATGGCAGCAACTGAAACCTATGGGAAGGGGGGCATTCCCGGCTCATCCTTCATGCCCTACCGAGGTCACGAGTTGCCCCCCACGAGCAGCTCTCCGGCACGGCCATGGCTCTAGAGCCACAGAAACCAATCTTATAATTATCTGACTCGGCAGAAATACTTCAGGCTTAATAAGTAAAATATCAGAAATCCAAAATCGTGTGGCCGCTATTGCGGCTGCAGGGCATCATTTGGTTCTTGTAACCAGCTGTAGAAAACAAATTATTTCACAATGCCTTTTCATCAGGCCTGATTTTGGGGTGTAAACTCTAAATAATAATGGTGCATCTTTTGTCAAAACAATGAATCTAATCAAAGTAGATAGAGTGTTAACTAGAATTCATTTGCCTCACAGGCCTTGGGAGGGTTGGGAGGGGGGTATATTGGGGTTCTTGGTGGTGAAAAATAAGTACTGGTAAAGGGAAATGTGTTTGATGATTGCATGACCGAGACTTAAACCTGAAAGCTTTGGAACTTTTCCCACAGTGATTCAATAAATAAATAAATAAATAAATTTGTTTAAGGTAGGGTCTTAAGGTTAGGGTTTATTTGCAGGATTGAGGAGGTATGATAAAGAAACTAACATCAAGAGAAATGTTATTTTAACTGGGAACCTCTTTGAACCACAAGGCCTGCAAGTACTTTAACTAACTCATCCTCTTTTTATTTTTTTCCATAAAACACAATCCTTTTTGTGAATTCAATTCAGATTTTTTTCCCATCAGACAGGTTGAATTTTATACTTTTAGTTGGAAGATTTGGTTGCTATTGTTTAGAATGATCTACAGTTCATAGTGAACTCATTGGAATCAATTTGAATGCTATCAATACTTGTTTCTAATCAGCATTATGATGGGTCTAGAACCAATAAAGTCAAATTTGATTGCCCTGATAAGACTCAGCTTTGACCCAGTGCACACATATTCTGGGATCTTTCCAGCCCCGCCAGCAAACATGAACTATTTCCAGCCTTGAATGAGTAATTGGAATATTTCCACTTGCTCCTTCCCAATGGATCTTTCTCAAACTCTATCACTGTAGGTCCAAGTGAGAACCCCCAGTGATTCAGGCAGGTCTCATCCATCTGAATCTCTGCTCAAAAATTGCTTTCAACACATGATGGGGATAGAAGTGTGGCTTATCTCCATATCTAAATCACAGGGCCAACAACACTGAAAGCATGAGGTCCAAATTTTAAAATGTGCCCATCAAGCAGCAGGCTAGGGATTGGAAGGAATCTGCTGGAGTGTTTAAGCTGATGCTGTTAGTGCAATGGCAGCTGGTACATAGCATGCTGTATTGTTGCCTTTCTGGATCATTCCCTCCTCCACTTCCAAGTCTTGGTCGCTCACCTGTAGATATATGTGTGTCTCCTGCAAACCAGGCTCTGAACTGATTTTTTTTCTGTGAAATGAAGTTGATTTCTGCTTACAATTTTAAATGATCATTATCGGTTGGCCTCTATTCTGCCATTTCTCCGGGACTTGCAAAATCATAATTTACATATTACATAATACTTGTAAGACAAAAGAAGTTGTTTTAAACCAGTAAGTTAAATACATCTAAAACGGGGGACTGGAGAAATAGTATGGGGGATAAGGTATTTGTCTTGCACATGGCCTACCCAGATTTGAGCCTTTGCATCCCACTTGGCCTCCAAACATTGCCAGAAGTGATTTCTGAATGCAGAGGCAGGAAAGAGTAACCCCTGAGCAGTGTTGAGTATGACCCAAACTAAATATATATATACAAAATATATAAATATTTATAAGAAATTTGTATCAATTATAAAAACTGAGTTGAACTAAAACTATTTCATTTTGAAATTCTAAATAACCCAAACAATACTTGAGTAACATCATTCTGTGGATTGTTTTTATACCACATTTTCAAATATTTTTTGAAGATTCTGCAGCTCACAAATTTTTGTAATTGGATGCATACTTCTATAGTTCTTTTTATCCATAGAACTTATCTGTTATTAAAAAATTATAGATAAGAAGTGAGTTCTCCTAAATGGTTCTCTGTTTTTCTGAAACTAAATTTAATATAGTAGTATTATTTTTTAAAAATATTGCTAAATGATTTCCTCTTTTCTGCATTAAATACAATTCTAAATTATCTGTACTCTAATTTAATACTATCATGTGATAATTTTTTGTTATGCAATTATTTGAAGATTT